ACGCGATCGTACGCGATTTGCCTGATTAGGCGGCGAGAACACTCGTGAGAGCTGCGATTTCAGCTCCGCCCAGGAGGGAAACGCAGCTTCGACCGAGGTGCCGCATGTCAGTGCCCATCCTAGCGCTCGACCACCGATCTTTGAGATGTCTAGTGCTACGCGCTGTTGTTTGGTCTGAAGCATGGCGGATGTGATGGCCATCTCAATCTCGCTAAACCAGAGCAGGATATTCTTTCCATCCTTCCCCTCGAAGACCTTAACGCTCACCATGAGCGGCTTAGAGCGGAATATCATCCGTCAATGACGGTGGCGTCATAGATTCAAATGATGCAGACATCTTCTGCTGCAGGGGCTCTAGCAGCGCGTTTTCGTAATTTGAAAACTTCCTAGACGCGCACCGATTGCCTCGGGGCCTTGTGCCACAAGGTGTACCACGCCCTCAGGGCCAAGCAGTGACATCAGCTTATTAAGCCCATCCTGCATGCCCTGAGGCAGAGAGGAAAATTCCTCTTTACAGAGGATCAGTCGAAACAACTCAGGTGTAGATTGACTACAAGTTCTATCAAGTGCAGCGGGGCTGCCGTAGCGTTGCGCCCGAGGAAGCGTCTTTAGGTCACCGACCTTTCGTTCTTTACAAGAACCAAGTACTAGTGCAGTGCATCGCAGTCCGCTGCTCTTTAAAAGTACTTAAAAGCCTTAACCAATGCAAACGAACACTTCTGTTCAAAATCGAAACTGCTTTTTATTTATAATTTTATCCTAATGCTAAAAGTTTAGATTTTCCTAAATATACAAAATATATATTGTAAAATCTAAATACATGCATAACTACTGGCTACTAGCCACGTACCGTATTCTTGTTTGGGTTTGTGGTCCCATCATGCACATCTCGTGCAGCACACACCCCTATTATTAGGGTTCGTGTAACCCGGTTACAATTTACCTTTGCGTCATAGTGACCACCATGTCCGTGATTACATACAGCATGTGTATAGAATAAAAGAAAAGCTGTACATCCGAGTAGGCGCTCCGCACGGCGATGGACCGCAGAAACCCAATTCGACCCACCACAGTGTGTGGCGGTTCATGATCACGCGCATCGGATTAACTCGGTTGCACGGGAAGTAATGCATGAACCAGAAGAGCGTTAGCTTAGGCTCACAACCCGCAAGTTTGACGAGGGGGTCTATATCGAGGAAGCTTCCGGACTGCAAGCGAGCGTTCATGTGTCATATTTGGTGCGCACCTGCAGCGTGAGTCTTCGACGACTTAAAGACTGCCTTGCTCAATCACTACCTGAACGGTACGACCGAGCGGTACTACAACAAGCAGGAAGGAAGATGGTGGCACCTTTTGACGCCTGGTCATGTTAGAAAGCAACTTCACCATGCGTTCAAGACGGCGATTTCTGCGTCTCAGTCAATGAGGCTTTTAGATCTCTGATAATACCTGAGCAAATTGTGTCATCTTAATCAAGAAAGTCGAGACGGTTGGCATCTTTTTTTTTACTATGAGTATAGTGCGCAACTCACTCACTATACGAATGATTTGCGATCTTGTGCGTTAGTATCTTAAATGCGTATCTTATTGCCGCCAAGTGCAGAAAAAATGAGCCAGACTTTTTGGTGTCTATCCTCGCCATGAAAAGTTTGGCTCGAAATTTATTAGCGAATTCGCTTAGAACGCGAGGTTTATAGTTTTAAGTGCCCATATAATAATAATCACTATTTATACTGTGGTTGACATGGCAAGTATGTCGTTAACTAAAACCACGCTTTGCGACTTAAGCGTACTTCACCTGCAGCAAAGTTGGCCAGCGTTTTTGCCCATTGATGTATAACCAGAAAATAATAAAATCAATGTTGCCCAATGTAGTGGGCAGATGAACATCAAGACAATTAAATTGTCCACATCAACTTGTGTTTACAAGATAGCAGGACTTAATAGAAAACCTGGATAATGCATAGTAAATTGTGTCAGATATTGTGAAAAACATAGCGTTACTCAAAATGTTAGCACATTTAATGACCAGCGCTTGGTCACTGACGGCAAGATGCTTTAATATACGCTTAATGGCAGCTTGCGGCGAGTGAATGCGTCAAGTCGAACATCATTTGACTCACGAACGCCAACTTATTACAAATGCTATCCAGCGTTATACAATCGAACGTCTAACCTGAGCTTAAAGGCCACGCGATTGCGCCCGTGAACAATTAAACAAAAGACTAGATCGATGTCGTCATGTTTGATATATCAATGCAAACTATTGTGTTCTTTGTAAAGTCGGAAGATGCACACGACGGCATCAGCAAGGATGGCGCCATCATGACGTCTATTGCTAAGGTCAAGAAGCATAAACAAAATTTGCAACGTAAAACGCCCATGCAAATTCACCAGCGTTTTGTGGATCTATCGTTCAGCAAACGAGCTTGGCCACACGGACAGTAATGCAAGCAACTTGCGTTATACAAAATCACCTAAAACACGTTCAAGTAGTGCTGTAAAACGTGGATCTTCACTTGAAACTATGACCACGGGCAAGGTATAAAGGTAATGAAACTTTGTTGAGATACAACTTGGCGTTGTTCCCACCGATATCGGTGTCGCTGTCAACAGCAAGATTAACCATTTAGTCGATAAAGACAACAATACCGATATTTATGGACACGTCATTCGGGAGACTAGACCAAAGTCCATATCAATGGCTGGTCAACATTCATTAAAAGTAGTAGACATGTTGAGGTGTCGAAGCTTGCGACAAGAACTCGCCCCCGGCACACTTCGCACAAGCACACGCACACATAAGTTTTTTTAGTTATACATATTAGGCCGCCAATACGTAGAATTGACTGAGCCGTATATTATCCTCGACGAGAGCATACGTCAGAGCAGGATGCAGCGGAGCTGCCGTAGCTCATTGCTTAGAGGAAGCTAAGCGAAACTCACCGACCATATGTTCTATACTAGAATCATTACGAGTGTAGCGAACCGCAATCCGCCACCTCCAAGAGTACCCAAAACCTTAACCTAAGGCAAATATACTATTCCGTATATAAATCCAAACTGTATCTCTTTTTTATTTGCGACAGAGCCGCCTATATTGAAATCTATAGGTGTCTCTAGTAGAATAGTAAAACCTTACTTAAATGCATAACTACTGGCAGTCCGCCATATAGGGGCTTCTTGTTAAGGTGTAGACACACCAATGTGTGGTCACACCATCTTGTGTGACCGACCCCTTTATACCAGGGTACGTGTAACCCCGTTATACTCTCCTGCACCAAAATTCTGAATATCCACAATTCACACATAACTGTCGCCTCGTACGAGGCTCGCGTGTCAAAGACACTTTAACGTCCCAAGGGTCCTCTTCGCGCATTCTCAGCTCAATGAGCCATGTGTCTATGACACGAGAAACACCCAGCCTCGCTGGTTTCGAGAGCGCCCGCGGGCAGAGCCCTTCTTCGTCTTCTGCACTCCATAGAGTACGTCCACGGCTTCAAGGGAAGCCCATCCCAAGCCCTCGA